AGGAAGGAACATATAAATTGTCAGGAGGTAGTATGTACTCTGGAACAAACAAAGCAGGAATGGGGACTCAGGCGTATCAGGCCGCACTGTTGAGTAGGGCGTCTGGGAGGCCTCACTGATAAGGTGACGTTGGAGCAGAGACCTGGGGAAAGTGAGGGAATGAATGAGCCATGTGGGTCTGGGGAAGCCGTGCTTCTCCTAGGGGGTGCTGCCAGTGCAAAGGCCCTGGGGTCGGAAAGGGTGAATGCCCACACAGGCTGTGCTGCACTGCAGGGCAGTGAGTGGCCTGGCTGGTGGAAATGGTTCATGGGTGAGGTCTGATTGGAGGGAATCTTCAAGCTGGAAGGTCCCTCAGATCTGAGGCCCAGAGAGAATGGATGCTACTGTCATAAGCGGCTATAATGACCAGACAGCCCAACTCTGCCCCTGGAGCTCAACCCAACTCTTTCTCTGAGACTCCACATTCTGGGTTGCAGCGATGAAGGAAACTTGAAGGCTAAGGGCGTGAAGAGGAAGAGATGAATGTGACAGTCATTGTGGGAAAGATCCACCAGGACTTGGGAGCTGATTAGACTTGGGGTGGGGACAGGCTCTGGGGCCAAGATGATGTCAAGGTCCCCAGCTCAGTGAACGCTGGTGCCGCTGGCACAGGCAGGAAAGGGAGCGGGCAGGAGGGTGGGCTAGGGGGCGGTGGCTTGGAGGAGCCAGACGTGGGTTCAAGTGCTGGTGCCACCACTTCCTGGCTTCCCCTCCCCGAGCCTTGGTTTCCCCTCTGTGAGCTGTAAATGAAAACGTCACCTTTTCGGGGTGGATTCTTATGATATTTCAGTACTCCTTACCATGGCAGTGTCTGATACCTGATAAACCCTCACTAACAAGCCTTTTTAGAAAGGATGTGAGGTAGCGGGAGGGAGGGCAGCAAACACGCAGGTAGGAATTGGGTGAGGGTAGTAGTTCTCAACCACAGCGATTTTGACCTCCTTTTATTTTTATTTTTAGTTTTTATTTACTTTTATTGATTTCAGAGAGGAAGGGAGAGGGAGAGATAAAACATCAATGATAAGAGAGTCATTGAACGGCTGCCTCCTGCACACCCCCTACTGGGAATCGAGCCCACAGCCAGGACATGTGCCCTTGACCAGAATTGAACCTGAAACCCTTCAGTCTGCAGGTCGACCCTCTATCCACGGAGCCAAACCGGCTAGGGCTTGCCCCCCATTTAGGAGATGCTGCTGGCATCTAGTGGATAGAGGCCAGGGATGCTGCTCAACAGCCCACAGATGCCACACACAACAGAGAATCATCCTGCCCCAAATGTCAGCAGTGCTGAGGTTAAGAAGCCTGAGCCAGGGGACAGAGAGCCCAATAGAATCTTTAGATGATTTAAGAATTTGGTTAAATAATGCATCCATATCATTCAGGTATTAAAATGCATAAAAAGACATACAGGGGAAAATTTAACTTCTAGTCCTGTCCCTCAGATACCCACACATACCCAGTTCCTACCTTCCCCCAAAGTGACTACATTTTTTTAAAGGTTTATTCATTTAAAAAAAATCTTTATTGTTGAAAGTATTACAGATGTCCCCTTTTCCCCCCATTGACCCCTTCTAATCTGTACCTGTGCACCACCCCTGGCCTTCACCACACTATTATCTGTGTCTATAGGTTATGCATATATGCATACAAGTTCTTTGGTTAACTTCTTCCTACCTACCCCCCACGTCCACCTTCCATCTGAGATTCAACAGTCTGTTCCATGCTTCTATGTCTCTGGATCTATTTTGTTCATCTGTTTATTTTGTTCTTTAGATTTCACATACGAGTGAGATCATGTGATACTTGTCTTTCTCTGACTGGCTTATTTCCCTTAGCATAATACTCTCCAGGTCCCTCCATGCTGTCTCAAAGCATAAGAGATCCTTCTTTTTTACTGCTGCATAGTATTCCATGGTGTAAATGTACCACAGCTTTTTTATCCACTCCTCTACTGATGGGCACTTGGGCTGTTTCCAGATCTTAGCTGTTATAAATTGCACTGCTATGAACATCGGGGTGCATATCATATATTCTTTCTGATTGATGTTCTGGGTTTCTAAGGATATATTCCTAGAAGTGGGATCACTGGGTCAAATGGCAGTTCATATTTAATTTTTTGAGGAAACTCCATACTGTTTTCCATAATGGCTGCACTAGTCTGCATTCCCACCAGCAGTGTATAGGGTTCCCTTTACCGTGTTCATGGATTGGTAGAATTAACATCATTAAAATATCCATACTACCCAAAGCAATCTATAGATTCAATGCAATCCCTATTATAATACTAACAGCATATTTCACATATCTAGAACAAACACTCCAAAAATTTATATGGAACCAAAAAAGACCCAGGAATGCCGCAGCAATCTTGAGAAAGAACAAAGTTGGAGGAATCACAATACCAGATTTCAAGTTACACTACAAAGCCACTAATCCAAACAGCCTGGTGCTGGCACAAGAACAGGCATATAGATCAGTGGGACAGAATAGACACCCCAGAAATCGACCCAAGCCATGATGCTCAATTAATATTTGACAGAGGAGGCAAGAGCCTACAGTGGAGTCAAGACAGTCTCTTCAATAAATGGTGCTGGGAAAATTGGACAGATACATGCAAAAAAATGAAACTAGACCACCAACTTACACCATACACAAGAATAAACTCAAAATGGATAAAGGACTTAAATGTAAGTCAGGACACCATAAAAATCCTAGAAGAAACCACAGGTAGCAAAATCTTAGACTTTTCTTGTAGCAATATGTTTATAGACACATCTCCTAAGACAAAGGAAACTAAGGAGAAAATAAACAAATAGAACTACATCAAAGTAAAAAGCTTCTGCACAGCACAAGAGACCATCAACAAAATGAAAAAGGAGTCCACTGTATGGGAGAACGTATTTGGCAATGATACATCTGATAAAGGGTTAATATTCAAAATGTATAAGGAACTCATACAACTTAACAAAAGGAAGACAAACAATCCAATTAAAAGATGGGCAAAGGACCTAAATAGACACTTCTCCAAAGGGGACATACAGATGGCCAAGAGACAAATGAAAACTGCTCAAAGTCTCTGATCTTCAGAGAGATGCAAATTAAAACAATGAGGCATCACCTCACACTTGTCAGAATGGTTGCCATCAACAAATCAACAAATGACAAGTGCTGGCGAGGATGTGGAGAAAAGGGAACCCTAGTAGACTTTTTAAAAGTTGACTGTATGTCCTTCCAGAATTTCTTTATGCAAATATAAGCAAAAAAGAATTCATGTTCTTACTTATTACACTCCTCCCTTCACA